TTTTTTAGTCAAGATACTAAATTTTAATAATACAAAATAGTATAGTAAAAAACAAATTTGACTAGAACAATAAACCAAACAACATTTCACAAAAAAAGTAGTTTCTGAAGAGATAGAAAACATCAAAAGATGTTAAAAATAACAATGCAAGTTTCCTATAGAAAAAAATTGAATGGTCTTAAGGTGGCATTCTAACAGATCCATCTAGTCTTATCACTTCACCATTCAAATAGGGATTTTCGATGATTGATTGTACTAGATGAGCAAATTCATCTGGTCTCCCGAGTCTAGAGGGAAACGGGACCATATTTCCTAATAGTATTTTGACTTTGTCTGGTAATGGTTCAACCATTTTTGTATTTCCAAATATTCCTAAAAAGAAAACAAACAATTTATTAAATTTGAAAATATTTATAGCAATAATGTCTACCTGGCGCAATCGTCATGACTCTTACACCCATGTTTGATAAATCACGTGCTAATGGTAATGTCATACTAGTTAAAGCTCCAGCACTCGCCGCATAAGCTGCCTGACCAATTTGTCCATCGAATGCAGCCATACTCGACGAATTAATAATAACACCACGTTGTCCGTTTTCATCCGGTTGATTATCGGCCATCAAATGACATGCGTAGCGAATTAGATTAAATATACCGAAAACATTGAAATTCAATACATTTTGAAATTCATTCATTCCGTGCATACTTCGTTTGTTGATGTTATAAGAGCGAAATGCCACACCAATACCAGCACAATTCACCAAAACATTTAATTTGGAATGCTCTAGACGAATTTTATTCAATACTTGCTGAACCTCTTCTTCCTTTGTTGCATCTAATGACTGGAATGACACACGAGATGAATTTAACGCTGCAATTGCTTCCTCTCCATTCGACGTTGGTAAATCACAAGCAATCACATGTTTAATGCCTTGCTCAGCAAAACGTTTAACACACGCAAACCCTAAACCCGTTGCTGCGCCACTAACAAGAGCGACGAGTCCTTGCATCTTTTTTTAAGGTTTCTAAAAATATACAAGAAAAAATTAATATACAGAATATAAGATTAGTGTTTTTCACATTAAAGCGCACATCGTTAGCGAAAAAAGAGTTTGAGAATTGTGCTGCGACATCTATCAATTTGCTGTCACTGTTGAATAAATCTTGTTGTTCAACAGAATTAGCGATTAACTTTTTATTAGACATGTGGTCAGATCACAGGCTTAACTGGGACCTGATATTTGAGCAAGGAGCTAATGAAAGATCTGTTTAAATATTTCCTCCTAACATTTTTCAACAATCCTTATCACTCAATTGAAAGTACTTTTTAGACTCTCTGTCACTAATTACCTCACTCCGACTGTCATACTCTCATTCAAGTCAAGTCAGATAAGGGAAATTTGTTTGATCAAACCCTCATTTCTCATTTGCAGCTCACGTGTGTAAGTCGAGTTGGATTAGAGAATATAATTTCCAATATGACAGCTGAAACGACGTGAGAAGTGAAAGTAAAAGTGAGTCCAAAAGGTTATTTCTATTGAATATAAATGACAGGCATTATTGAAAAATTTATCAAAAAATCTTTTTATCTGATTTCTCAATATATCTGATACCTAACAAATTTTATTGTTTCTTGCGAATATGTCATAGTCAGTCAGAGAATAATGACTTACATAGAGAAAGAGTTGTTGAAAATCCAAATGACAAATTTGAGAATAAAAGTGGAAGCAAGGTGGAAGTTTTTTTCCAAGCGAGCAAATTGATTTTTTAAGCTGAATGTCAACTGTACTCTCGTGGTATTGATATGAGTCATCAGGAGCACTGGTGATATCGAGGTGAGCCTTTACGAAAAGGTAGCATCCGGTAGAAAAGTTCAATTTATATCACTATGAAATACAAACCAGTTTTCAAATCAAGTATACTGTATACTCGAGAAAATGAAAGTCTGGTTTTTTCACCTACTTTTCTGTGATTCACATGCAAAAGTTCGTTCCATCATTAAGATCCGTGAAGTACGTAATCACGGACTTTTGAACGAGGAAGCTGCCAGTCAGCTTCGTGATTTTTCATGCAGTTTAGTCCATAATCTCAAGGAACTGGCTGACAGCCTCCGCCTTGAAAAGTCCGTGATTACATACTTCACGGACCTTAATGATGGAACGAACTTTGCATATGATTCAGAGAAAAGTGCTTCGGATAGAAAAACCACAGATTTTTCTTTTTTCGAACTTACAGTATATAGTTTCCCTTCACTTTATTCAAGGGTCTTACAGATCAAGATACGCTAGGACTGAAAACTTGACGTAACTTGCCACAATCAACATACACTCACGATGATACTAACCACTTCGGCTTAGCTTTCCGTCTTAACATGTCTTGAGCGGGCTTATAGTTGTGTGTTTGTCCGCAAAACACGGAAAAATGGCCGTCAGATACTTCCTGGATGAGCCAGTCATAAGAGAGAATAAGTAAACGATAATTTTATCTTAAATATTTCAAAGATATGTACAAGACAACGAAAAGAGGGTCAGACTCATGCTAGACACTTTTAATTTACCAGAGTTAAATGAGAAAAGATGAATGTAAAATATGGCGCTACAAAGCAGTGGGAAAAGTGCTGCAAGCGAAAACATTGTTTCAGATATTAAGTGAAAACTGTTAGAATCAAATAATTACGAAAGAACCACGCCTAAACAGATAGTTAATCATTAAGCATCTATGATGTCCAGTAGACCTAGGAGGCGGAGAGTTTCCAGAAACCTTTGAGTTGTTCCGTGCGTGATTCGACGAGTGAAAGTTGTGTTATGTCTTGAGATAAGAATCAATAGGACACCTAGGGGTTCCGAAGGGCTTGGAAAACCTTTTGCACTGTTAGATCCAGTAAAGCTTAGAGATATTAGCATCTAATTGAAGTAATCTGTAGATGTGTGCTTAATGCCTAAAGTATTCCCCTAGTGTGTTGATTGAACTTGAACAATTTTGTTGCAAGAACCGACAGAAGGGACGTGAGAGCTTACTCCATACTCTGTGAACGAACACAGATTGATATACTCGTCAGTTTAGCCTTGTGCCGCTTAAGTCAACGGACAGAGCGAATCGTAGATGAGCGTTACCTAGTATAGTAGAGTTTATTTTCGATTTTAAATCAGTGTCAATCTGACTCTGAAATCAGAAGCTGAGATTGAATCGCAATGCTTAAGAACAACAGTCGAATCACCTCATCGCATAACTAGATTATTTGTTTGTTTGTAGATTCTTCCACTGTTTACCATCGAATGCTGTTGGATAATCAAATGTATTATGAGAACGGTCATTTCATTTCAGTTTGATTAGATGTAGACAATAAGATATACACATTTTAAAAGCCCACATTGAAAGTATTACTGCATAAACAGCACACTTTTGATTTTTTATAGTGTTTCTAACGATTTGCCTGAGCATATCTCTGTCAGAGACTAGCGTCGTGCTCACCGTTACAGAGTTGTTCCCGGTAAACGATGATCGTCCAAGCTTTTCTGCCTTGCCGTCATCGCTTTTTAATTTAAAAATTCTAGCCAAGCCGCTATCATAGATGAGTATAGCTTGAGCTGAGATTACGCATCTAAATGATGTTTTGATATCTATCAAGAAGCTATAACACTTTTTGCCATCGACTTGCGGGGTGGAAAAGTCAAGCGTCAACTTTGTTTTTGAGAAGTTTTTCTTATGTAGGTTCAACTTGTAAGTCGTTTACATTGGCCTCGAATTTTTAATATTTCTGTCCCCATTAGAGTATTGAGAACAGCCTTATCGATTTTGTTGTATTTCAGGGCAGAACTGTAATCACTAACTGCAATTTTTAGTGAGAAAGTACGAAAAAGTCGACATGCACGCTTAATTGTACACCATCAATCTCCGTAATTTTTTCCACCCAAAATAAAATGGTGAGCTTCTGTTTCAAGCAACATGCTTGGCGTAAAATTATAATATGAATGATTTCAAGTCAATAAGCATCTAATACTAAAATTTATTTTGTTTCAGATTATTAGTTTTACTTTAAGTAAAACGATATGACTGACACTTCTTCAACAACAAAATGGGAGCCGTACTGGAATGAAACTTACAAAATGTATTATTGGTATAATGGGAAGGAATCTGTCTGGGAAACTCCTGAAGGCGAAATACCGCCCCCACCACCGACATCTTCAGATAATCCCGCAACTACAACACATGACATAAATCAACACTATAATTCTTATTTAACAACGATAACCACTCCTCCTGTTTATGCGTCAACATCCTATACTGATCCTCAATCAGAACTATTTTATGAACCACCTGCGACTAAAAAG